AGATCAAAGAAATAAGTTCCAAATTTATGAAGTAGGATGTAATGGAAGTATTTTTTTTTTTTTTACATATTTTTTGAAGTAGTTGAAGTAATACTTCGTATTCATCATTCTCTTGTTTATTTGGTTAGCAATGAAAAGTGGTTAGAAAGTAACTAATAAAGAAAATATTATTAAAAAAAATATTTATTTTCTAATTAATGCATATTTCACCTACTTCAGGGTTACTTTTGAGCCTTAAGAGGCGAAAAAATATTTAGGAAGGATGAGTAACACGTAGGCGCCAAATTAGCGTTAAGAAGGAAGTATTGAAAGTAAGTTTTTCAGAGAAAAAATCATATATTTTTGCTATGAAATAGCAGAAGTAACATTACTTCCGCTACTTCATAATTATTTCCATGTAAACAAATATGCCCCTAAAGGAAATGGAGGGGAAAAGATGTGGCAAAAATTGCAGTCAATTATCCTCCGTCCTACATTCCCATATCATTTAATTTCTCCTAAATTAGAGTGCAACAAAGGAAAAAGATTTTGGGCCACCGTGATTTGAATCCAATGGCCAAGAAATAATACTCCTCCATCTCCTCACTAAATTATCAAAAATAATATTATACTATTTTCTTCCATTTTTGCCCCCTTCCCACGTCCTATTTTCCCTCCCCTTCATTTTTCTTTATCCTTCATCTCTTTACTAAATTTCCAAAAAGAGAAACCCTTAGACGCTTCACGCACGATAGCAAGGCCGAGTTTGTCATTTTTGTCTTCTTAGGGGCTGTTTGGTTCGCTAAAAAAACATGGAAAGTAAAGAAAAGGAAACATATTTCCCATAATTGGATGTTTTCTTGTGTTTGGTTCACTTCTTAGAAGTAAAAAAGAGATAAGTTGAGATGAGTTGTCACAATATTATTGGATGATGTGAGTGATTTTTAAAGAAAACTTATTTTGATGTTCTTTTCTTATGTTTGGTTGGCTAAAAAAATAAGGAAAAAACTTATAAGGAAAATATTTTCCTTGTTTTGGTTCTTTTCTTGTGTTTGGTTCATTTTTAAAACTAAGAAAATAGATGAGATGAGATGAGTTGTCATTATCTTATTGGATGATGTGACCCACACTTAAGGAAATCGATTTCCTAGCTTTTTTGGAGGAAATTGGTGGAAATGAAATGTTAATGAGATAGGATGAGTTGTCACCATATTATTGGATGATGTGAATGATTTTTAAAGATGGTAGTAGATGAGATGAGATGAGTTGGATGAGTTGATTGATGTGACTCATTTCTTGTGTTTAGTTTATTTTTAAAAATAAGAAATAAGATGAGTTGTCACCATATTATTGGTTGATGTGGGAGATTTCTAAGGGTGGAAAATGATGGAAACCAAATTTTATTGATTTCCATGCTTTTCTTTCCTTTTCTTGGTTTTTAGGAAACGAACCAAACAGCCCCTTAGCTTCGTACTCTCATGCAAAATTAAAATAAATAAAGAAAGATGGATGACCTGTGCTTTCCAACTTCCATGTCCTCTAGCTAGGAACCAAACTTGTCCCCACGATTCAGAGCATATTACAGGAATATCCAACTAATAGATGGCGGTATTACCGTAATTAAGAGGTGAAAAGTGCCTATATGTTTCCCCCGCAAAAGGAGATCCGATGGGGTTCACACAAAAGCCGACCCGCGGTGGTGACGCGGCAACCACATCCTTAACGATTGGTCCCACGCAACGTGGGACCAAATGTGAAGTCGCAGCCTCGCAAGCCACACGATGCGGTCGGAAGCGTGCATTCAGCAACAACCGCGGCGATCCGTACGGCCGAGAGGCTCTACTGTAGC